GTAGTTTCACACTTTAGTGTTATTTAAAGACTTATTTAAGGAGCTTGAAGAAAATGTAAATTCCAGGGCCAGGCATGGTGGCTTCACGCCTGTAATCCCAGCACTTTGGGAGGCTGAGGCAGGCGGATCACCTGAGGTCAGGTGTTCAAGACCAGCCTGGCCAACATGGAGAAACCCCATCTCTACGAAAAATACACAATTAGCCGGGCATGGTGGCACATGCCTGCAATCCCAGCTACTCAGGAGGCTGAGGCAGGAGAACTGCTTGAACCCAGGAGGCGGAGGTTATGGTGAGCTGAGATCATGCCATTGTACTCCAGCCTGGGCAACAAGAGCAAAACTCCAACTCAAACAAACAAAAAATGTAAATTCTGACTAGGTGCCGTGGCTCACACCTGTAATCCCAGCACTTTGGGAGGCCGAGACAGGTGGATCATGAGGTCAGGAGTTCAAGACCAGCCTGACCAACATGGGGAAACCCCATCTCTACTAAAAATACTTAGCTGGGTGTAGTGGCGCATGCCTGTAGTCCCAACTACTCAGGAGGCTGAGGTAGGAGAATTGCTGGAACTCAGGAGGTGGAGGCTGCTATGAGCCAAGATCACGCTATTGCACTCCAGCCACCTGGGTAACAGAGTGAGACTCCGTCTCAAAAGAAAAAAAAAAAAAAGGTAAATTCCAGGGTCCCAACCCAAGAGATTCTGATTTGGTAGCTCTGGTCTGGGTCCTAATTTGAGAAAACGCCTCCAACAGGATCCATAATGGTCATTAAGAGGCTCATTAACTCCTTCAATTGTAGGCAAATTTGCATGTAGGGGTTTGGGTGCGGGATATGCCTGGGCATGTATATACGTTTTTATAGCAGGAAGGGCTGTAAGATCCATCTCCTAAGAGTTTAAGAAGCTCTACTTTAGAAACTATAGCTCTGGACCAGGAACTTAAGGGGAAAAAGAAATGACTTTAAACGATCGCTTATAACGCCCTTTCCTGCATCTATTGATAGGTCTTACAACCACTGTTAAGAAGAGAGTTCAGCTGTGAATCCAAGAAAAAAAAAAAAAAGAACTAGGCTGGGCATGGTGGCTCACGCCTGTAATCCCAGAACTTTGGGAGGCCAAGGCGGGCAAATCACAAGGTCAGGAATTCAAGACCAGCCTTGGTAAAGGAGTGAAACCTCCATCTCTACTAAAAATACAAAAATAATTAGCCAGGCATGGTGGTGGGCACCTATAATCCCAGTTACTTGAGAGGCTGAGGTAGGAGAATTGCTTGAACCCAGAAGGCAGAGGTTGCAGTGAGCCAAGACTGTGCCACTACACTCCAGCCCAGGCAACAGTGTAAGACTCTTGTCTCCAAAAAAAAAAAAAAAAGAAAGAAAGAAAAGAGAGAACTTAGTGGCAGGGCATGGTGGCTCACACCTGTAACCCCAGCACTTTGGGAGGTCGAGGCAGGTGGATCACCTGTGTTCAGGAATTCGAGACCAGCCTGGCAAACATGGTGAAACCCCATCTCTACTAAAAATAGAAAAATTAGGTATGGTGGCACATGCTTGTAATCCCAGCTACTTGGGAGGCTGAGGCATGAGAATCATTTGAACCCAGGAGGAGGAGGTTGCAGTGAGCACACTGCACTCCAGCCTGGGCAATAAAGCAAGACTCAGCCGTGCGCGGTGGCTCAGGCCTATAATCCCAGCATTTTGGGAGGCCGAGGCGGGTGGATCATGAGGTCAAGAGATTGAGACCATCCTGGTCAACAAGGTGAAACCCTGTCTCTACTAAAAATACAAAAATTAGCTGGGCATGGTGGTGCGCGCCTGTAGTCCCAGGTATTCGGGAGGCTGAGGCAGGAGAATTGCTTGAACCCAGGAGGAGGCGGAGGTTGCGGTGAGCCGAAATCGTGCCATTGCACTCCAGTCTGGGTAACAACAGCGAAACTCCGTCTCAAAAAAAAAATAAAGCAAGACTTCATCTCAGAAAAAAAAGCAGAGAGAATTTGGCACTTGGCAGGGTTTGTGAAATGGGAAGGAACTAAGGGGCCAGTCAAGACATAGGACTCTCTGGGAGGCAACTTTATGCACCTACTCATCTGTGTTTCCATAATCTCTGTTGTGCAGCAGACTTTCAGGGGGTGGGAGGCAGTAATGTGAAAGGAAAACGGCTGCTTTCCTAATATCTCCTCTACTGAAAGCCAGGTTGGTTCTGAACTAAGGGATTGAGTTGGCTCAAAATTCTACATTGGCTCTGAGAGAGAGGTGATCCAACCAAAAAGAATTGATCTTCATAATGACAGAAGTGGATTTTGTCCCCCTTTTCTTGTATTTTTAACCGGAATACAGTAACCAGAGGTAGAATTAGAACCCTATCCCTGGCAGCCCAAATCCAGCTTTGGGCTGTGAAAGTCCTGTAAGCACACGTGGCTCCAGTTTCCTTATCTGTAAATGAGGGGATTGAACTGAATGAGTTCTAAGGGCCCTACAGCAATTCCCATAGGATTCCTCTATTTTCATAGAAGGCCCCTCTCACCTGTAGTAGAAATGCACGGGGCTGAGGTGGCTGACCGTCGGCATGTAAGAATAGTAGAAGGAGCCATAGAGAAAGACAGACACCCAGAGCAAGAGGAGGATGGTGCAGAAGATCACCCCAAACTGAAGAAGCAGCCTGCGGGCACGCCCTGCCAAGACTTCGCCCACCTCCTGGGCCCACAGTAAGGCAGGTACTGGAGGGTCGTTGACCATGGCCGGGAGAACAGGGTGTCTGGCCCCAGGGTCAGGCCTTGCGTTCCTAACTGCTCTGCCACCCGGACGACAACCCTGGCCATGGGATGAGGCAGCTGGCGGTTCCTGGAAAGAGAGAAGGGAGAAAAGAGTGACTCCTTTCCCCAGGGAGGTGGTGACACAAAACCCTACTGGAGTGATTTTGAGGAATGAGACATAGCAGGATAGCAAAGTTATTGTTTCATATATATGGCCTTTCTCCTAATGATTGTGCTACTCAGCCAACTATCCCTTCCCTTTCCTCCACCGTGTTCCCTTCGCCCCCAGTGAAACTCCTTCTCCAGCCACCTGATTTTGGGACAAACCACCTTGATACTTATTCACAGCTATATAATAAATAAAGTACGAGCACCTTACAATTCTTACAAAGCGCTTTACACACACGGTGATACTGAATCCATACTGCTAGGCAGCTGCACGGAGAGAATGTGCGAGTTGCCTACATTCGCACGGCCAGACCCGAAGCCAGTAGCCTGAGAGTCGCCACAATTGCTTCCCGAGTTTCTCCTCTCCGCCACGAGCTGAGCTCGCTCCCAGATAAGGCTGCGCCCCAAGCCAGAAGGAGCGCCCAGCAGCCAACCGCCGCTCCCCGCCAGCCCCCTCCGGCTCGGGGGTGGGCAAGGCGCCCAGAGCCCCTATCTAACCGTGCAACCATGGAAACCAGCCCGCCGGCTGCCACAGGGCGACCGACTCACCAGCCTCCCGCGCTGCCAGGGCAACCAAGAGACTGGCCTTCCGGCTCCCGGGGAAGTCCCACCCCTCTCCGCCGGCCGCTTTTGTAGCCCTTGGAGGTGGGGCTTCGGCCCAGGGCGGGGCCCAGCGCGGCAGGGCGGAGCCTTCCCGGGTTGCGCGGCTCAGGTCTCCCGGCGCTCGCCACTGGCCCTCTCTGCGACAGGTTTCTCTCCGGTTACCGTAACCAAAGGGGAAAGCCGCCTGCTTCCCTGCAGACCCCAAAATATGCCCCAGCATGCGCTGACTGCAGCATCCGCTCGGCCCTCCCTCGAAATCTCATTCACGGTCCTCCGTGCACACCTTCACCACCGGCCATTTCACCCCTGAAGAGGGCAAGTGAGCCTGGCATCCAGTTGGCGCTTTTTATCGCCCACAGCCCCTAGGACCTGTAGGCATCTAAGGTGGGGGCATTCGCCTAGAACATGTTGCAGTCTGCGGCAACCTGGGCCTCTTGCGTTGCGCAGGCAGGTTAGTCCCTGTTCCCAGCGTGGTAGCATTTCAGCTCTGCGTTTTGTGGACTTCCTCTGACCCTAACTGGAGGCACTCTCCCTCAGTCACCCCCCGCCCTCGGCACATTATCTAGACTAGCTCTTGGCAGGTGGTATCTTCTATTTTGTAGACGTCTAATCACCCCAGATAAAGCCCTTCAGATGGCAAGGCCAGTGTTGTGTACATCTTTGCAAACTGCTGCAGGCGTGGGAGATAATCTATTGAAAATGAATGAAATTCTTCAAACCAATCCCTCCATTCCACGCCAGCCCATCTTATTTCCAATATATTTCTGCTGACTGTCCCCACAAGGCCCCCTACCTCCTCTTTGTCCCGTCCTTTGATCTGGTCTCCGCACGCCTCTTTTTCCCCAGCTTCCTCCCTTTGGTCTACCTTTTCTGTAGACATCTTCCTGACGATGAGCCTCTGCTGCCTCTGGATCTTCCACTGAGTCACTTGTGGCTAGAACAAAGTGGCGATCCAAACGCCGATACCTGTGGCGCATCACATTTTCCTGGATATGGAAAATGGAGGGTCCCTGGGAGAGAAACGAAGATTGAGGTGCTAAGTGCTGTGTCAGGGTAGAGGAGGGAGGAAGAGAAGAAGGGGGCGACAGCCCAGTTGATGTCAGATTTTCAAATGAGCAGGGTCCCCCGCAGCCAGTACAGACTCCACTGCAGGGGCTGTCATAGGCCCAGACCACCCCATTTGAGAGGGGTAGTCAGCCTTGGCCTCAGCTCTGTTGGGGAGTGCTCTAGCCCAGACTAAGGATGCCTGCAATGGGGGAGGGGCAGGCGGTGAACCAGCAACAGTGGGGGTGTGCGCAGGGGTTGCAGGCAGCTAGGCTCCCCCACTGGCCAGGCAGTTGGTATGCTCCAGCATCTGAGCAGCTCCTTCTAGCATCCTTCATCCTTCAGGTACCAGCCATCCAGGCAGTGCTTGAGCTGCAGAAACTGAGACCAGCCCTCGACGGACCTCTGGCCTGACCCTCTCCAGTGGCCTCCTTCCCTATAAGTCACTGCTTCTGCATCAGATTTTTTCAGCTGCAACTACCTACAGGGTGGGGCACCCATCTCAGGCAGAAGGTTTTGGTGCCCTCCACTGACCCTACACCCAGGGCTGCTACTGCCGCTCGTGGCTTCAGGTGAGTAGGGAACAGCCTATTTTTCTCCTGTTGGGGCTCACTGGGGCAGATAGGGGTGATGTAGCCTCCTCATCAAGGTGATTGAGGTCTTCAGAGCTGGAACACAGGTGGCCTGTAGGGCTGAAAAGCCTTACATCATTTGTGTAAGGCTTAATGATCTATGGTCCAGGCCATGAGTTTGGGGAACACCTCATCCCACCCTATTTTTTTCATGAGGAATACAGGGATGAGGCAGTCCACTGGAGGAGGAGGAGGAGGAGAGAAGAGGGAAACAAAATATTGGGGCACGACCACAGCCTTATAAAGGTTGGTATAGAGTGAGCTTGGAGAAGGGCCTCCAGGTGAGACTGTGCTCTGAGAGGTCCCTCTTTTTTCCAGGATGAAAGGTGAGACTCCAGTGAACAGCACTATGAGTATTGGGCAAGCACGCAAGATGGTGGAACAGCTTAAGATTGAAGCCAGCTTGTGCCGGATAAAGGTGGGTGGGACCCTGGCTGGCTCCATTAGTTGGCCAGGCCGTGCTGTGCTGCAGGTTCCCAAAGCTCTGATGCCTTCTTTCCTTCACTCCCTGGGGTCAGGGGAGGAGTCTGGGGCTCTGCAAGGAGAGCTGTCCCAGGCATCTATGGGGGATGAGGGAAAAGACAGTCCTGAGGAGTCCTGGAGAGGGCAAAAGAGAACTCATTTGGGGAGGGAGTCTGCAGTCCCCTTCAGAGGTCCTGGCTAACAATACCCCCCCTGGCTGTGTCCCAGGTGTCCAAGGCAGCAGCAGACCTGATGACTTACTGTGATGCCCACGCCTGTGAGGATCCCCTCATCACCCCTGTGCCCACTTCAGAGAATCCCTTCCGGGAGAAGAAGTTCTTCTGTGCTCTCCTCTGAGCTGCCCTGTCCTTCTCACAACTCCTCACTTTTCCCTCTCCGGGGCCCTTCCTTAGTCTGTAATTGTGAGCCCCTGAGGCTCCCTGCATCCCATCCTTAACCCTTGCCTGACTATGTGAGGTTATCTGAAGCACAAGGCCCGCCCTCACCTATCTGTTGACCCAATTTCCTCCGCCTTGTGGCCGACCCCAAGGACCCCAGAGACATGAGGCACCCTTTGCCCCACCCACAGCAGGGCCCCATCAGACTCTGCCAGCAACCTGCCCGCTTCCCTTGGTGACCCGCTCAGACAGTGGAGAGAGGGATTGGCCAGGTGCTTGCTCTCTGCCTCACCTGGAGCTACTGGGAGGGTAAAGCCATTTTAAGAATAAAGTCATCCAGAGCCTCAGAGGACAGCTCCTGTGTTAGCATTCTTTGTGGGAGAGGATCGTCAAGCAATACATCTGCCATATCCCAGGGAAAAGGGCCAATCAAAGCAGGCTAGACTTTGTCAAGGATTGGAGATCGGCGGGGTCAGGGGATGGAGGGTGAGAGCGCGTCCCCAGTGGAGAAATTAAGTACAACAGACACTCAAGAGGTTGCGGAGAGCAAACACACAAACGTGCAATTTAGCCAAGTGAAAAGGTAAACAGACCGAAGAGGGTGGAGTTAGGGGAGGATTCGGGAGTGCAGTGACACAGCAGAGGAACGCTTAGGAGGACGGGGCGAAGCTTGGCTTCAGTTACCGCGACCGGAGCCGGTTTTATACCTAAGATGGCTGCGCCCACAGCCGCTCCCCTTCCAAGATGGCCGTACCAACATGGCGGCCCCCACCTCACGAAGTTTACCGTACAGCGCTTCTCTTAAAATGGCGGCCCCCAGGCAGCCGGAGTTCTTAATATGGTCCCTTCCGCGCTCTTCTGGTCTCAAAATGGCTGCCCCTGCCCTCACCAAGTTGGGGCCCACGCCCTGAAACCCCGAAATCTGGATTTCGATGTCCTCCCGATTGAGCCGAAGGCACACGGGCGGCCATAACGAGGAATAATGGAACAAGGGGACCCCAGGAAGCACAGCGTGGCCGATGCTGGTCGCATGAATCTTGGCGAGGGAATTTAGGTTTCTACATCTTGCCAGGTAGAAGTTCCCTTTGGAACGGAAATATTAGCTGCAGGAGGTTACCGCCCAGTGCCGTCTGTCTTGGTGCAGCGCTCCTCAGTCGCTTCCTGATCTTCCCAGGAGCTGGATAACCCCAAGTTACTCAGTTTGGGTTTCCTAGTAGAACTGGGGCTTGTTTTTGCTTTCATTTCCCCCTCAGGCTGATTCAGCCACATCAGCCAGAAAGCAGTGTCTCCACCCTAATGTGCCTGGCAGGAGTCCAGCATGCTGTCTGGACAGAGACCAAACTTAAGGCTTAACATGTCACGAACATCTCTAGGACTCACACATGGCGGAGGTTTACGAACACCAGAATGCCTCCTAGAACCTTTTCCTTCCAAGGGTGCACAGAGCAGAGATGGGCCCAGGGCCAACAATCCCAGTCAGTATATGCGCTCCTCATAGTCAAGATCCCCTAAACTCAGGGATGTATCCTCCCCAGGAAAAGCCTAGGCTGGCTCCTGTTCTGTGCCTGGATATACTTCACAGAGAGAGGCTGCTTTGAAAAGTATGGACAGCTCATTACCCCCAGCTTTCAGGTACTTTTGTATAGAGAGAAAATGAAAGAAAGGGTGTTTCATCAGCAACTGAACTTATAGCCTCCTAAGGATATCTTCACGAACTCCAGGAATACCCAATGAACTTGGGACAAGTGTCCCAAGCAGCTTTTTACTGTTGATGGAACTTCTGAGCTCTAAGAAGTCCTGGAGATCTTCTAATTCCCTTATCCTAGAGATGAAGAAACAGGAAAAGTAAACTTTTGCCCTCCTGGAGTTGGACCTATCCCCATTCGGTTAAGGAGGAGCCTCTGTTCCTTGGTGAAAATTCCAGGAAGAATCAATCAGGTCCGTTTAATCCCTGTATCCTTATAATGGCACATATCAGGCACCCAAATACCCAATGAATGGACTGTACCGTACATGCTTAAACAGCAAATGGCGCATAGCAGGGACCAAGCACCTCTGCACCCTGCATCAGGGTGTTGGGTACATTCCAGGAGAGTAAGTGAAATTTTCCGTAACAGCTCAGACATGGTAAAAAAACAAACAAACAAAAACAGAGTGCTTAGTAACTGTAACCTTGATTTTTAAAAATGCCTCCACTTGGCCTGGTGCGGTGGCCCATGCACTTTGGAGGCCACGGCAGGCATCACCTGAGGTCAGGAGTTTGGGACCAGCCTGGCCAACATGGTGAAACCCATCTCTACTAATAATAAACAAATCAGCCAGGTGTGGTGGCAGGCGCCTGTAATCCCAGCTACTTGGGAGGCTGAGGCAGGAGAATCGCTTGAACCCGGGAGGTGGAAATTGCAGTGTGCCAAGATCAAATCACTGCACTCCAGCCTGGATGACAGAACAAGACTCCATCCCCGCCCCCGCAAACAAAAACCTGTTCAGTTTTTCTGCACATTCTGCAGCCCTAGTTGGGAAAATGGAGCTTAAGTGGTAGAGACCAGGCATGAATTATAACTATTTTAAAAATGACTAATTAGCTCTAACATCAGCTTTAAATGTCCTAGAATAGGTGGCTACCAAAATCAAGGGTGGCCTTCAGGGTATAAAGCTGTAAATCTGGGTATCTGAAGCTGTGTCACACAGAGAGGGTAGGAATCAGAGTAGTATCTACATCCATACTATTACCCCTTCAGAACACTGGATGTCATGAGCCTGTGTTATCTCAGCTTTAAGACCCTGACCATTTATTAGAAACTGCCCTTAGGATTAGTTCATTGTTAATAATGTAATGGTGGCTGGGCACGGTGGCTCATGCCTCTAATACCAGCACTTTGGGAGGCTGAGGTGGGCAGATCACGAGGTCAGGAGTTCAAGATCAGCCTGGCCAATAAGGTGAAACCGTCTCTACTAAAAAAAAAAAAAAAAAAAAAAATTAGCCAGGCGTGGTGGCACACACCTGTAGTCCCAGCTACTCAGGAGGCTGAGGCAGAAGAATTGCTTGAACCCAGGAGGTGGAGGTTGTGGTGAGCCAAGATCCTGCCACTGCACTACGGCCTGGGCAACAGAGCGGGATGTTGTAAATTTAAGTTACCTTCTCATTCTCCAAATTCACTAGAAAACAACCCTCAGCAAACTTCTGTTGAATGAGGCCTTTTCCCCTAGCAGTAATTACTCATGAATATAATTATTTGGCTCCACAAATAGAACTTAACATTTAACTTCGAGCATCCAACTGGTTTTTGCATAGGCCAAATACAGAGGTCATGAGTTATAATTTATTTTCTTGCACTTCAATGGCTTGACTCTTGGCCTAAGCAAGCACTAAACAGACTAATAACCACCCACCCACATCAAGTGACTGCATGGCTGGCTCCCATGTGAAGGCAGGCAGAACAGGGAGGGAATGGCAGCCACCATGCAAGAAGAGAGCCCTCCTTGGTTGGAACCCATGCAACCTGAGAAAGAAGCATTAAAAAATGAATAAATAACCCAATGACACCCTCCGCCCCAGTCAGTGCAGCCACAGGAGATTGGGTGAATTCAATCCAAATGGTTATTTATTCTAAAACTGGAAGCTACTTTGCCTACATTATCGCCAGAATGGTGTAATGAGAACCGGGGAGGAAAAAGTTACAGATGTAAACAATGACACAGTTACATTTTTTTAAAATGGTAAAACCCTTTTTTACTGGCCACTTCCAAGAATGCTTTACAAGTTGTGCAAAAACATTTACAGGCTCCATGTGGTGTTTGTTTTTCTCACAAGCTTTTCCGTCTACAGCTACAACAGACTTCTGATAAAACACTAAACAAGTCTTCTAAGGAAAACAAGGCTAAGGATTCCTCTGGTTGCCATAATCCACATTTCCCCCCTTAACATAGTTTTTTTTCATAATAAAAAGACAGAAACAAAACCCAGACATCTACTGTTGTTGCAAGTGATCTCTTGGACTAAACCAACAAGGATGTGGCAGTTTCACTTTCTACCCACCTAGAAAAACAGCTTTGTAAAAAAGATGACTTTCTAGTGTCAAATATCAACAGCGAGTACCTCCCTGAACCCCTGCTGGAAAATAAACCCAACCTGATTCAATTTAGTCCCCTTGCCCCTGAGGGCCCTAGCAACCCTGTCCATGTCACAGACCACAAGAAAGATGCTATTTGCAGGACTAAATATCTGAAAAGGGGTGGCAGCCACTACCACAGGAAATTGTTTTCTAATATAATCTTGCCCTAAGGGAATTTCTTTGGGCTCCAGTTTTTACCTCCTTGCCTTGACATTATAAGCAAAGCTTTCTCAAACTCCCTTAATAATAATAGTAATAATACAAAGTTAATGTATTACAGAAAAATTCATGCAATCATTCCACCCACTGCCACACACAAACTCATTTGAGGGCACCTCAGGGAAGCAGATACCAAGAGAAAGGACATGATTATGAGTAAGCAAACTTATCTCCTACCAGCCCCCTGTTCCTGCCTTGGGGTCAGAGGTAGTTGGGCGGAAGGGTGTGTCATGACAGACAGGGACATTAGACAGCCAGAATAAGGGTCTGTACACCTGAACAAGGGCTGTATGGCAGTAACAGTGGGAGGAGGAGAGGAAGATCAAATCAGCACAAAATTTTAAACAGAGAACTGCCCAGGTGAGGAAATGGAAGTGAAGCATTTTCTAGTAGCACAATCCAGATTTTCTCTCACTAGAAAGTACTGCTATATGTGGTGTCTGCTGAGTAAGCTCTTGGCTGACACAGTGCTGAACAGGAGGATGAATGAAAACTGAGGCTAGACATTGAAAGAGCATTCCATATCCCACCCATATTCTCAAACCCAGCAACCTACAGCTCTCTATCAAGAACTGGGAGGATACCGGTAAAGTCACAAACAAAACCATCCCAACTCAAGTCTCTTGGCTAGAGGCCTCTCTGGGGACACACAGGGAAAGCACCCCAAAAGGAATCTTGTTTCTAGAAGACAGGAAGGGGTGCTCTCTTTCATACACACATTTACACACTTTCACACTCACTCTTCCCAAGGTTCAGCAGCCCCAGTGAGCCGCCTCCCACCCCCCACCCTCCCCTCTTCTATTCACTCTCAACCTGTGTATCAAAAAAAACAGCAGGGCAGGAGCCCTCCACACTGTAGAAAATAGTTGCTAGTTGCTATTCTCAGCACCTGGGCCTGGGAGCCCACACCACAGGATTCACCTATATACATATCCCATTGCAGTGAAAAGAATCCTGCCGTGTTTCCGTGTGAGCTGAAACCCTGAGAAACGAACTTCTCTCACACTGTAAGA